TATGAAGACCAAACATGAAACTATATATGAAGAATGGTTAGCTAAGAAAAATGTTAACACTGATGCAAAACAACGAAATCTTGATGACATGATTAAACAGAAAACAAGTAAATATTCATCAACTGATGCAAGACAAGTTAAATTAACTGAATCTATAGTAAAAGATTTAATAATTGAATGTGGTGTACCGTTATCATTGGTAGATCAAAATGGTTTTAAAAATTTTATGCAAGTAGCTGATCCAATGTACTCACTTTTAAGCCGCCGACAATTAACTCGTGATAAACTTCCAAAATTACATGATAAAATGGTTACGAAATTAAAGATATGATGCAATAATGCCGAACATGTATCAGTCACATTAGATGTATGGACTGATAGACGATTACGTTCTTATATCGGTATTACGTTGCATACATTTGTTGATGACGAATTAAAATCAGATTTATTATCATTTGCACCACTAAAAGGTCATCATACAGCTGATGTTTTATTGGCTGAGTTTGAAAAAGTAATTAATTATTATCATATTGAAAAAAAATTAGTACGTTTAATTACGGATAATGCAGTCAATAATATAAAAGCATTCGATGACATTTTACTTCCCGGTTTTGAAACATATTTTGAGAATGATGACTGTAACGATGATACCAATGGCTCTTTACAGAATAATAATGATGACGATGATTGTGAAGAAATATTTAATGATGATTCGTATGATCGCTTTGAATTAGTACCATTAGCTGATGATATTATTCAATGTGTAAGTGAAAATTTAGAATTATTACGTTCACCATGCTTCGCTCATACGCTACAGCTGGTTGTTAAGGATGGTATTAAACACGCATCTAATGCAACTGCTGCCTTAACAAAAGTTGCAAAAATTGCAAAATTCGGTCATAGCAGCACTTTATTTGCTGAAAAAATAGATAAATTATCAAAGACAATACCACGAGCAACAAAATGTTGCTGGAATAGTCAATTTTTAACTGTTACTGCTGTTTTAAATATACCTATAATGATACTCAATGATATTTTAACTGAATTAAATAAAAAAGAACTATATTTAACAGAAAAAAATAAAGAAGTTCTTGATGAATTTATGACATTGTTATGCTTATTTAATGAAGCTACAGTTTTGACTCAAGCTGATCAAACAGTTACAATAAGTATTGTTGGACCAGTCCTTCTTAATCTATTAAGTGACCTTGAACTTGAAAAAAAAAGTCTGGACGTATATCTTTATTGTGTGATGCTCTAATTTCTTCTTTAAAAACGCGTTTTGGTGGTTTTTATAAACATTTTTCTATTAAAACAGATGACTGTATCGTAAAAATAAATACAAATGCTAATACATCGTGTTTATATGGTGATCCAATTTTTTTGATGAGTCCAGTTTTAGATGGACGTTTTAAATTTCAATGGATAAATGATTGTGATTTATTATCTGATTTAACAAAAAATAATATTATTTTAACTATCAAACAATATATTATTGATGCATGTATACTTAATTCAAAAAATAACATTATTAATGATGATGTTCAAGTGATACCAGAAGAAGCCAGCAGCAATAATAAAAATGCAACATTTTCTGATAAAGGAAATAAAAAATGTTTATTTCCAACATTAAAAGTTGGTTCATTCAAAAAAACAAAAGTTGATAATTCAACTCCAATATCAGTTTCTTCGGAAATTGATAGTTTTCTGCAGGAAGAAAATTTGACCAGTGATCTTATTTTTCAAAAACGAAATTCATATCAATCTCTTAATAAGCTTGCTAGAAAAATCATGTGTGTTCCTGCTACATCAGCACCAGTTGAACGTGTGTTTTCTCAAAGCGGCCTTCTCATGAGACCGCATCGTTCAAAATTTTCACAAGCTAACATTTGCATTTTAACATCTTTAAAGTGCAATAAGACATTAATTTAAATGCTAATAAAAAATTGGTGCTTGTAAACAACTTTTCAATTATATTTTTGTTTATAAAAAATGATGTTCTTTTTACTGTGTTGTGCAACTGTATAAAAGAGAATAGTTGATTTTGATGTTCCTGTTTTGTTGATAAATCTATAGTACTTGTGTCATTTCATTTCATGTAGGACTTTGTTTTTTTCGTGAATTAAGAACTATGAACTAAATATTGTGTGACGGAAAACTTGTTAATTTTCTTTATAAAAATAAACAGAAAACGAAAAAATGGCAAAAATATCTTGACTCGACTCGAAGCCGCTACGAAATGACTCGGACTCGACTCGACTCGAAAAATGGCTTGACTCGCCCATCTCTGGATGATCCGTTCTTTTCATAAATCTATTATATCAACGTTCCTTGGAAGGGACCGGCGGCTGTAAAGGGTTAAGATTAAATGATTCACCACAATTACGTGGTGTTTCAATATCGAATGCTCCAAATCTTCCCTTAGATTTTAATTTGGAAAATTCTGATTCTAAAGCAACAATAAGCACAAGATCTGCTACACCAGTTAATATTTTATTACAGCTACCACAGTTCTTAACACAAATAATAACAACGAATGATACTACTCAACCATTTAATGTTAATGATGATACAAATGATTAAAATGAACATGAATCACAACAACAACAACAGAATAACCAACAACGACAGCATCTTATAGACGTCGACAACGTCGAATTCATCAACAACAATATCGTAACATGGCTACGAATTATGATGATAATTATTATGATAATTTGCTGAATTAGCAGAAGCAGATGCATGTACAGATATTGAATCGAATTATGGTGACAATGTCAATGATAATGCACCATTAGCTAATAATAATAAAAAGAAGACAATTGTACAAAATAAAAAGAAAAAGAAACAACGAGTTTATTTAGAACCTCATCGAATAATGCGTTATATGCAGGATAATTTTTCAGCTATTATTGGTGCTCGTGGTAATCAAGCCTACATATTAGCTGCAACTCCTGTTCACGATGAATGGATAAGTAATAATTGTGATTTACAAGCCTGGCGAAATTATTTCAAAATGGGTACAGAAAATAAATATTGGTCCAAAGAAGTCATCCAACGCATGAAAAAACATGATGATATAATAAACAGTCGATTTATCCAGAACAAGATCAATCGATTAACAACTAATATAGCTCAAGTAAATGCTAGTATATCAGGTTTATAAATTCAATTAGCTACTTATTGAACTCAAACTACAGCCGGTACAGCAATCTCTACGACATCAACATCAACAAATACTAATCTTATTCGAGATTCTGTTGAGCGACTAGAAAAATCTGTATTAAAATATATTCAACAATGTACTTAACATGTTAAGGGCACCCACTCAGAAATGATGATTTTCGGTCAAAAAATCGGTTTTGAGATAAGCACATAAAAGATAGCCTGAAGTGTCTACTTCCAGAATCTGTATTGCTTTTGGTTACAAAACTGATTTTTCGGGGATTTTGAGTAAGTTTTCTTAGAGCCGGAAGAAAAAGCCGGAGAAAAATCGGGTCTTCAAATAATATTTTTTTCCTGGATACTTATGCAATTAAAATTTTTCTGAACACACAGCTTTGTAGAGCAAACGTTTCTGATCAAAATATGATCTCGCATAACTTTATATGACCTTGCATCAAAAAGTTACAGACATTTTCCCAGAAGTCCTAAAAAAGAGTATTCTATACAGCGTTTAATACACCTTTTTCTCTCTATAAGAGTAACACCTGAAGTGCGTCTCAAGATTTTAAGAGGAAAAGAAACTACATGGACTGATCGGCCCCGATTTTTGAATTAGGTCTTAGTTTTTTGTCAAACTGAGGATTTTTAGAAAATCCGGAAAGCTTTTTCAGGTTTTGGAGGTTGTCGGTTGCTTGTAAAACCAATAAAGGCTTAATTGAAAACTCGGCGCCGGTCAGTCCATGTAGTTAGGTGTCTAGTTTAAAATAAAACAAACCCGAACTCTCCAGTTTGAAGTATATTAAAAAATCTTGGGACACACTTCAGGGTTCTTTTTGGACCTTGATCTCTGAAAAACTCCTAAACCGTAAGACTTGGAGCCAAAAAAGTTTTTCATTCCCGTAACTCATTGTGTCGAACATTTATGGAAAGTTTCGTCAAGATCGGATGTACCGTGTTGGAGATAATTTCTGAGGAGGGGGGGAGGCTTCAACAAATGGCTGAAAAGAAAATTCATTTAGCTAAAGCAGAAATGGAAGAATATAAAGCTTTATAAGATTCTCAACAAATTGCTACTCGATCATAATGGAACATTCATTTAATGTTGAAATCAAAAATGAAACTATACAATCAAAAACTAAAAATTACCAAATAGCTACCAAACGTGTGAAATATGAAATACCCCCACATTTTATTTCAAAAATGATTGCACATTTAAAACTGATGGATCAATATTAGATAAAGCAGAGTTGGAACCGGTCTAAATATTAGAGGCCGGGCCAAAAATCTTTTTAGACCGCTGAAAAACCGGCAAAAGACCAGGCGGTTTAGATGCTTTTATCAGTAAATCAAAATAATTTTAATGAAAAAGTCATTTTCACTAGCAGGCTAGAGAAAACTACGGTGGTGTGAGTTTTCTCTAGCCTGTAGGAAATTCTTTAGACTATGATACTCTTAGAGCATGATACTCTCTCAAAAAGTGTTGACTTTTATTCAATGCACATCTATCAGTAAGTTGTACAGATTTTCTGCCTCTATCCAAAATGTTGATACCTAAAATATCAAACAACGTCGGAGTCAATCATTCGATAACGAACGAACCGTTTCTTCCTGGCTCTGCTAAATCTAGGACAAATCGGGGAATTGCATATATTAGATCTCTCCAATAGTGAGGTTTTCGAAATGTAAAAATATTTTTTATGGGTTTTCCAGAGATCCGGTCTCCAGAAAACCCACAAGGAATTACTTTTGGGTTCTGAAAATCGCATCATTAGAAAGAGCA